CGCATGATAGACTCCTTGAGGGACAATAGGAGATGTGATAGTAGAGTCTTTGAGATGTAGATGTCCTACTCCTAGTCCCTCACTCATCCCCAGGGAGATGTTAATTGTTGCCTTCCTGGTGAACTTTTGAACTGTTCTTAATTTTCTTGGGGACTGTAGAAAGGACAGCCTGGAATATGGGGGACAAGTTGTGTTTGAGGCCTTCACCTCTGCTGAAGGAAGGATCTTCCACTTTAGCATAAATGGATTCCTTCACTCCTCTCTCAAACCACCTATTTTCTCTGTCCAAAATGTAAACATTATTGTCCTCAAATGAGTGTCCTTTTTCTTTTAGATGAAGGTAAACTTCTGATTCTGGTCCCGTGTTGTTGCTCCTTCTGTGCTGGGCCATTCTCTGGTGTAAAGGTTGTTTGGCTTCCCCAGTGTAAATCTCTGAGCATTCCTCACTGCATTGAATTGCATATACTACATTGCTCTTCTTATGTTTTGGTGAAGATTGAAAACAATCTCAGCCGATGGGGCTAAGGAAATACATCACTGTTTGATATTCAAGAAATCTAAATTTGTTGATAACTGTATTATATAATCAGCTAACTTGGCATGACCTTGATACTTTCTTCCCCACCTCCATTGCTCTTATTATCAAAACCAACCTATTGTTACTACTGTAAATACTGTAAATATGGGACACGTTCCAGAAGTCATATTGCTATGTAGCTACTAAAATATATAAAGCAACTTTTCTCATACAAAGGCCACATAGAGACTTAGAGATGCATGGCTGGGCAAAATCAATAATTAAATATGACATTATTGAAATGAAAATGCAATTTACATTCAACATCAACACAACTAATTTTAAAAGTTAATATTACTGCTGCCCATCTATTTAACAGGTTCCCCCTTCTGCCTTTTGAAAAATGGCCATTTACAGGCTGCTGCTGGAAGAGTTCTAAGGGTCGTGAATTGTTCAAGGGCCTGAGACTGACTGCCTCTGATATAAAGCAGAAAGCGACCCTCTCTCTTAACTGCCGTGAAAAGCCATGGAGCCAAATGTTGCACGTGGGCCCCTCTGCCTCTTGAGAGTGAATATAATCTCCCACTTAAACTTTGTTAAGGGAAATATTTTAACAGTTCTTAAGGCTAAGGAACATTCCTGTTTAACCAAGACCTGAACTTTAAGATGCAGCCTTGTGGAAAATCTGCTTAGTGTTAATAGTGGCCAAGGTTGGTGCCAACATCTCCCATGACTGAAAGTCAGAGGAGAGTAGTGGATTTGTTGTGGGAAAAACGGCATGCAAGCAAATACATTGAAACATGGCACAGCACAGTTAGGGCAGGAGCACAACATGGGCTGGCATCCAACCACCCAGAATAGGTGGGCTCCAAAAATCCCCCGCCCTTTTTTTTTTGCATTGTTGACATGTTTAGAGGATTAAGGGGCAAAATGGGTACTTTACGCCTTGCAAATAAGGGATATATTCAGCCCTGAAAAGTCCTGAAGCTCCCTTTGAACCTTGGCATGGCTCCCCATCCAGTCTGGCAGCAGGGCTGTTGACATGCTACGCAAAACCTGATGCAGCTCTCTAACTGACAGGAGTTGTGTGTCCCTTTGTTAGGATTAAGTTGTGCTGCTTGCTCATGGGTTGAAGAAATGACTTTGCCAAAAATAATTTTGGCATTTTTTTCTAACCACTCTCATTCAATTTGATAAACAAGAATTTCTTTCCATATTTTTCTTAAGGAGAAAATTCCAATAAAATTCTCCTGAGCAGAAATGTGTTTATATTTCCTTCATTGTGAAGTGATTGAGGAACCTAAATGTCCTGTCTTTCCCTGTCTTACCATCTCCTTAGCACTCTGCACCTCCTTGACTCCCCCTGTTTTGGTCCATTAAGCCCTAAAGGATGCTACCAAAAGGGAATGTGTCTTGTGAAACTCTTTCAAGAGAGGCAGCCACGGAGGCTGCAAAGTGATGGGGTTTTCTCTGCCGCCTTGTACAAACTCATAAGCTCGAAAGCATAATCAAAAGAAATTCTAAAGAAATTTTACAGCAACTGAAAATGAGGTTTTTATTTAAAACATCAAAGGCTTTTTTTACAGGAAGAAAAAAGTTCCAGGGAACTGCAGGATGGGTTTTGATCCAATTTTCATTGAAACTACTTCTGGAGAGAGAAAAAAGCAGACTTCCCCAAGGTTGTTTCTAGTCTTTTAGTCACAGTTCAGAGAAAGTCAGTTACATATTTGCAGCAGCCCAAATTTTAGAGATTAGTTCAGTTGTAACATAAGCTTTGGTCAACAAAGAGAAAAAAACACATTGGACTAGGGCAGGTAAATCATCCATTTACATGGCTGTAACTTAAGGTGGGGCAAGGAGGAAGAAGAGTTAAGCCACGTCAGTGAAATGTTAAAGATCTCAGGAATGAAATAGATGTAGAGAGAAAAGGGTGGGGAGAAGAAAAGAGATCAAAAGTTCAATGCCAGCAATTTGTGGAGCTCATGTAGCTCTTTACCACACATATAAAATTTGTATTATCTTCATTTAGGCTCAGCCTCTTTCACAATTTTCTTTTATTACAGATGAGGAGGGATTATGTTAGGTCAGATCAGCTGGATGGCTTTGACCTGAAAATACATTTCCACATCAACAAGATTGGAGAAAACCCCTGTGTAAACAGCATCGATGTCAGCAACCTCAGTGACAGCTATTGTAGCCAGGTTGCATTTGTCAGGGAAAGGCTGTAAACCTTTGACCTGACAAATACACCCTGGATACAATAACTCTATTCTTTCCAGGTATAGAGAGGGAATCAGAAAGAAAACATGTCACTGTTTGATTAAGCAGTGCCTGGAGGTCAGAATTCTGTAAGTCAAATGGTTCTTGAACTTGGAGCCAATGCACTTCTCATAGAGCAGAAGGACATTCATGACTCCTGGTGCCATCTGGGTGAAACAGAAACAATGGTGCTCCAATTCATTCAGGTTTTTCTCCTACACAGTGATTAATTAATTTATTTTAAAGTGTATATTTGACCAATAGGAGCTTAAGATATATAGGCTATGACCTGATCTTTCATTGATTTGGAATGTAGGAAAACTCCTGCAAAAAATGGATATAAAACGAAGGAGGGGAAATTGCCTTTCCCTGTCCCAAGGACTTCAGATTTCACCACCACTACTTAGGGATGAAGAGCATCTGGAGAATTACAGGTGCCCCCACCACTGCTAGAAAAGATCAAAGTGTAAGTTCCATAATCAAAAAACACTGCCAGTGTATTGCAAATTGTCACATATTCTACATGCTACGAGTGCTACTAGTGATGTTACCACATCTCTGAGAATAAATCATGTCAAGAAACTAGTCTGCAGCTCCCACCAATTATGTGATTTTAACAAAGGAAAAACGATGGAGCTCTGACTGTGTGAATACTCCAGAAGTTAGATACAGCAAACAAAGGCAGAAATATGTATCTGTCCACATTTATGGAGTCTTTCTTTTTAATCTTTGTAATATTGCAGATATTGCAGTTCTTTCATTCCTGCCTCTTCCCTTTGGTACCATCTATCTCTGCAAAACTTTCCAAATACCGTAAGAGAAGGAACACTAATTAAGGAATGCAAGCAAAATGCTTTCTGTCATAGGTTCTCCTTGATAATGTTGGCATTTCCACTCATAATATATTCTTTTTTTATTCTTTTTTTAGAAGCACACCTGCAAAAGTCTTACAAATGCCTCCTATCGTGCTGGGATAAAGAAACTGGCTAAATGCCCTTCATTTTCTGAGATGAGGCCTTAAATCTCAAGCCTTGTTTCATTTTCTATGCCATTTTGAGCAGTAACATAGGAAAGTGACACCTTCTTCAGTACACTGGAAGTTCAAGTTCTTTTTGAAGAACTTTTAAATGGGATTTAAGGAGAACATTCTTTTCTAATAGATTAACATGTGTAATTGAGGCTGAACTTAAGAACAAAGATACTAAGCCTGCAGGATTTGGCAGAAGAAAGGAATTCCTTTTTTTGGAGACCAAAATCATTAACACAACATTCAACAATTGTGCTTATTATTCCATGAAGATCTAGAGTGACAATAATTACAGATGGAGCCAGAATTTCTGAATTTTTTTTCTAGCCTTCTAAATTCAAGGATTCAGGAACTTTGTCCAATTTGTTATGGAAAGATAAAACAACTCTAAACAACCACAAGTCTGCATAAAAATATTTTACAACTTTCCTGAGATATGTTTTCTTTGGAGATTGTCAGTTAGTCCAATTTTCAAGGTTTTTTTTTTTTTTTTTGGATATCTTATTATAGCAGTCATGGACAACCCACAGCTTCAAATACAGTGGTACCTCGGGATATGAACTTAATCTGTA